TCCTTGTCCTTGTCCTTGTCCTTGTCCTTCTCCTCCTCCTCCTCCTCCTCCTCCTCCTCCTCCTTGTATTCATGTTATATTTGTTGCAACAAAGAAAGGAAACAGAACATACTGACTCAGAGCACGGATCAGGACATAGTTTAAGTGTGATGAAGGCATCTTATTAGAGGCGCCTCTCTTTATTCTTGTTTACGATAGATGAGTCTTAATTTTGTCCAGCTCTGTCTTAAGATTCTGGTGGGCTTTCTGTTGAATCTTTCAATGGTTTCAAATTTTTTAATCATGAGTTCCGTCATAAAAATTTATTACATTTGATAGCACCAGTTTGACCTCTATCAAACTCAATAATATTTTTATAAATGTGCTACTAAATTTTCAGTCTGTCAGTCTATCAAAAGTAGCACATCGATAATATCATGAATCACCCAATGCTACAAACAGATTCTACTGTTCTTAATAGTTTGTACCGTTACTATCTTATTGGTACAATAATATCAACAGAGGTCATAATTTAGAGGTATGTGCAACGCATTGAAAACTCATATTCTATCTGTGGCAGGAATAAGGAAATTTTACCCCCGGGGATTTTTTTTCAATTTCATTTTTCAAGCAGTTGCAAGTAGTACTAGAAAAAAACATTATCAAAAATACTACCATTAGAATTTTTGAGTACACTGTCTAGCCCAGTTTTTCATGAGGATTCTGAATTTGCCAATATTTTCAGTGTCAAATGGAATGATAGTGTAACTTTTCACTGTTGAATATTGACTATTAGATTATTAGTACAAATTACTATTGGGGAATTAGTGGGAGAAATGGATGAAGGACAGACAGTTGGAATTTTTTCTAAGGACTAGACTGGTGGGACTGACTGGACAAATGGCAGACTATTTCTACTGTAAATACAGTACTAGTATGTACTAGTCTGGCTGTTACCACCACCAGCCCTGTGTCAGCACCTTAATGTTTAAACTGTAGACAGCAATAACAGTGGAAATATACTTACTACTACCTCTGTTCCAAAATACTGGTGCAGTTTGCACCTCTTTGGTCAAAATAAGCTTAATATTTGGCCAATTTGACTGCTTACTATTTTTAATTATGTTGATCTTATTTAATACTTTTAATGTCCGTCCCATGCCCACCTATTCCCAGAAAATATGGAAGCCTTCTTATTACAGACTCCTACCTCCATGCTCTCTTATTATCATTGAGTCTACGAGAAAACGATTCTGGCGAGTGTCTCTCAAGCTACAGGTGCTTTGGTCTCCAACACTTGCCCTATTACCCAGTACTTTCCACCATTGTCTCATAGTAAACAACCCCCGKAGAGCGTCACACAAGATGGGCTGATCTTTGACGCGTACTGCAAAAAGAAACGACACAGACCCTCTGCGTCACCAAAGCTCTCTTTGGTCTCTACTGCAACCACCAGTACCATACAAACTACTATGAACAATTATTTCCATTAATTCCTCAGCCAAAACAGCACAAACCTGGTCGCCCTTCCACCAAAACTCCTCGGAGGGAAGTGCTGCCCCTTGGAGCAGCTAGAAGCAT